TGCAAACAAGAATGACACTCGTTCCAAAACACAAATCAATGTGTCGGTTTTGGTGCAAAAAGCATCGCGACACCTTATTATTCGACAGATATGCTTATTAACTTAATTTGCATACAATATTGATTCCACAGTATTGACTACTGAGTGCACAGTCCCTTTGGTTCTGAAAATGTTCAGGTCACAACTGTTGCCTCATTGCAGAATGGCAGTTAAGCATGGAGACAGTGGTTATGTTTAGTGCTTGTTGTGGCTTGTGGCTCTCTGCGTTTCCTTTTCTCTACTTTTCTCCTCTTTCTCTCTGTTTTCGCTCACTCAAATACTCATGTATGCACATGCACTGTGGTAGCTGTGCCCCACTGGGGACTGGACTGAGGCTGGCTGGGGTTTTGCTCCTTGTATTTCCACATCAAAGACATGTCATATTGATGGAGCCTGACGCACACTATCCTGCAGCAACACAACCGGTATGGTAGAGCCTTCATCCAACACGCATACAGAAACGGAATGAACAGGCAAATAGACTCTCTCTCTCTCACACACACACACACACACACACACACACACACACACACACACAGTCGCAATGCCATCCTTTGAATGTCTTTCTGTCAGGATGTCTGTTACTATTTTCTTTCCTTTACTTTCTCACAGTCATTGCAGCCTTTATTCTCTCTCCTCTGTAAAGATAATTTTTTTTCTTGATCCGTCTCCTTTACTTTCTTCCTGTCCACCACTGTCTCAATCAAACACATTCCCTTTATAATTCTCTTTTTACATTTCCCCATCATATTCTCTCCATTAAATTCCCTCGCTCAAACGAGCAGTTCTCTCTTTCTCTTTTACTTAGACAAAACTTTCAGAAGTCTGAACTGTGTCTGGTATTCCAGTCACTTTGGCTTGAAGCAGAGCAGGGAGCAGAGGGGATGGGTCTCAAGGTAAAGCAGCATGCAGCCTTTGGTTGCCCTGACCCTGTTTGTCAGTCTTTGCTCTCCTCTTCTAGTTGTCCTCAAAGGGCCAGTGCCTGCGCTTCCTGAAGACTAAACCTCATCAACACAGAACAGGACGACCGCGCCCGTTTGAGGGCTCAATGTTACAAATGTGGAATTTATGTAGTTGGACAGATTAGATTTTCTTCTTAAATTGCCACTCAATAGTGGTACATCTTATCAGTTTTGAACTTTTTTATTTCATGTGGTTAAACACTAAAAACTAAGTGAAGCTGATATATTTGAAAGATAAACATATTTAGTCTAAAAGGAGCAAAATAGCAGCTGGTCACAAACCCCTGGCTTACATAGCAACACAAGTTTCTGACAGTGTCATAACTGACAGTGCTGGTTTACACGATGTAAGTGTGGTGTCAGTGCAAAGCATTGCTTTACTGTAGGTTTTAAATCCTCTTTCTCTTTGCCAAAACCCAACCTGCCCTTGTACAATTTCAAAACGCTGTCTTTGTCCTAGTACAGTGTCCTCATTACTGTGTTTAATCAGTGCACGGCATGCCAAAAAGGCCACATTTAACATCAGTAAGCTGTGATTAAGGCCGCTTGTTTTCATCACCATAACGTAACATCAAAATCATATCCAAGTCAGACTTACCCTAGATGTTAAAAAGGCTTTTTGGAGCCAAACTCAATTCAATGTCATGATAAATCCCAAAGAAATAGACAAATAAATTTGTGGGCAAAAACAAAGTTAAGACAGTTTTACAATGGCCACCTATGAGGATGGCAATAAATTACCTGCTTTGTTTACCTGTGCGCATGAGAGAATTATTAAAGTGCTGCATAATACCCTACAGTGGGGCCCCAAAAAGCCTCCTTAATAAATCTCTTGTAACCTAGTTCCATTAATGTTTATTTAATGCTTTTGCTTGCTGGCCCTTCCATCCAAGGCCCCACGCTAAGCCTGCTTTTCTCCAAACCCCACTATCCCTGCTCCCTTTATCCCCACACCTACTGCCAACAGCCCCTGTGGGCCAAATTACACCAAGGCTGCCCACTGACTGGACATAACCCATCATGTTGAGAGCGAGAACGGGATGAGAAAGGGATGAAGGAATCGAGAGCAGAGGCAGGGCAGACAGAGAGAGTGAGAGAGAAGGTTGTTCCTTAATAAATTAATGAATGAGTAAACTATTTGTAACTGTTGCTGCTTAGACATTCAAAAATCTGCATTTCTGCTTGCATCACTTCTCTCATCTGAATATAAAAACTGAAGAAGTGGGATAAACTTAAATGCTTAATACTGTGGGGGGG